CCCCACATGGAAGCCAGTCGAAGTCGTCGAAGAACGAACACAGTTGACAGCTGTAGGTCACGTGAAACAACAGACACGAGGAGCATGGCTGCTCTCCAAATGGGTCCCTTCTTTTGTATTGACCCCCTAAGGATTGCTAATCCCCCTTTCTAACTCTTCCCCCAAAAATAATATATCGCCCCTTTTAAAATGTATTGAGCCACAAATTAATGAATATTCATGAGCACAGAAACTGCAACGTCATGAATAAATTAGCATAATTTTAAAAAAATTGCATAAAGTGTAGGTACTCCTTCTGGAGCTCTGCCAAAGGCCGAGATCAGTTACTTAATGAGAAAACTGGGTCTGGCAACAATTATAAAAAAAATGGATGTTTGCGTCTCTCCGTGTTTATCTGAGCGGTTCGCGCAGAGATCTCTGGCATGCACAAAATATCGTAGTTTCCATGTAGTTGTTTTATATATTTCACACTTAATGGATGATGTACGCATATCTTTTTATAATAAGGGGTTTACATTGTTTAGCGAAATTCGCTAAATTAGACATTGCGAATGCCGAGTTGTCTAATATCATTAATATTAAATCATAGAGTTAAAAAGAGCTTTGTGGTTATACATTACTATAGTGTCTCCGTAGGTTTCAGCTATGTACCTCTCATTTAAAAAAAAAAAACACCATTGGTATTTTAAAGAGAAGTAGACAATGGTGTGATAAAACATGTAATTGAGACAGTTAACATGACAGCGCCCACTCTATACTGGAAGAGACCACACAAATATTTGATTCGGGTCAGCGCACGTCAGTTTAAAGGGAGGCATTCTTAGACTACCTAAATAATGTGATAATAAATAAAAACACGGTAATAAATAAGAAAAGGGCCATGTAATCGTGCCATTTTAGTAACATTCCATATTTCTTTGTTTACCTGGGTGTAAAATTGTATAACTAATTGTTTCAAGTTGGCTATATGACTGTGACTGATAATTCGCATTGTGATGGTATTCTGAAGGTGTCTATGCTCCACAACCTTCGTTCAGTTACAGAAATCACAAGTCGTATTCTAATATTCATTAATCTTTACCCACCGTGACGTTTTACTACTATCCGTGCACTAAGATGAAATTAGTATCGTCCTTTTGCCGTTAATTTCGCCACAATGGCATTCATAACATTAAAAGTTATCACTTGACTGCCACTAGTTCATAAAATCATATCCCCTATGTTGAACTATTTTACAGCTTATGGGAAGAATGTCAAGTACAAAAGCTACTTCACCGTTCGTTCACCGAATAGTTACAAGAAATTATTTATTTAACCGTGGTCGTCGTTTTGAATTGCAATTTCACATCGCAGGCGTTTACGTGAATAATTACAGTGTGAACATGTACATATCGTTTTTCAATTCTTCCCCTTTCCCTTCTGCGCATGTCAGAGAATACGACCACGTGATACACAGTATACCTTTACAATGAGGCGAATACATGCCTTAATGGTATTCGTCGGGAGTATTACAATGTGTGGACATGGTCACGACATAGCTCTCAGACTTTTGATGCATCATGTATATATATATATATATATATATATATGCGTATGTGTATGTGTGTGCAGCGACGGACATTCACTGCGGAACGTTTAGAAACAGCTCTAACATAAACTGAACGTTGCCAATGGAAACAAAGATAACTTGACATCGCTAATGGAAACAATAACTCTAAAAATGTCTTCACAACTGAGTCGACGTGTAAGTCACTCCAGCCTCTTCAGCATGACGAAAACGGCAAAAGAACTGGATCTGACATCGGACGAAAGGCGAGAATCTAGATTTCGACGAGATAGA